TCTTATTGGGCTATGCATCATCTTATTGGGCTATGCATCATCTTATTGGGCTATGCATCATCTTATTGGGCTATGCATCATCTTATTGGGCTATGTAACATCTTATTGGGCTATGCATCATCTTATTGGGCTATGTATCATCTTATTGGGCTATGTATCATCTTATTGGGCTATGTGACATCTTATTGGGCTATGTCACAACTTATTGGGCTATGTATCCTCTTATTGGGCGTGGAGAGGGTAAAGATGGAATTAATTAACAATACACATACCAAATGTAAATCCAAAGTAAATCTTTATTTTCCAAACACCACATACATAACAAGACAATTTTTACAAGTCCAGAAAATTTAAAGTTAAAAAATTTTCTAAGTCAAAACAACTAGGTATGAAAAAATGTCAAAAAAAAGTGTCAAATTCTGCAATTTTAGAGTACAAACACTATGAGTGTGTAACATAAATACTATTAAATCATGCTAATCCTATTGTTTTCTATTGTTTAATTAGGACTATTTACTACTAAGTATTGCAGAGTGTTGCACACTTTTAATGTTTGCACTCTACCAAAAAATCCATCACTTGTCTGAAAACAATGTAGAGTGCAAATAATATACCCGTGAAATAGTTAGGAAGAAATAGGAAAAAGCGCTTAATTAGACAAGACATGGTCCAAATTCAGAGAGGCATGACAAGGGCACAAGTAACAACTTAATACACAAATGAATAGATACGAAAATGCGATCATGTAAAATTATATGAAGGAAAAGTATGTACAATAAAATATTGTTTCAGTTTTTGTAAGTGTGTTTAAAAATATTTCAAAATGCGCACCCTTGAGTAACAGTTGTGCACTAGTTTACCTGTCACGGCTAGTCTATTTCTTTAACTAATTAGACTTAGGCAACAAATAGCACAAAGTTAGTACTTAGTTCATGGGTATATTATGTGCACTCTACAAGAAAATCTACAAGTACCCTATACAAGTATGGAGGTTTTTCCACACCTCTCCCTATTCTGTATTTGCACATAACCCATAATGCTTTGCACCTTGAGGGGTGACCAATTGAAAAACTGTCCCATATTGAAACGTTTTTTCCCCATAACTGTACAATATTGATTATCAGTTTATTCCAATAAATGTTTGTGCAGATCAAGAGTCTTGGTGTTGAAAATTTACCTTAAGGTAGCTCCATATAGTTAAAAGGCTTTTGAGTACATGTTACATATTGTTGTATTAAAAAAAAAAAATAATGTTTTGACCCTTTTTTGTGCATTGTACCTAATACTAGTGAATTAAGGTTTCAGTTTTTATAAAAAATATCACATGACAGGTCACCATAGCAACGTGACAGTCATAATTGAGGCATTTTTGTAATAAAAAAATGAAAAAAGCTCAAGTTTTTTGCAGGGAATTTTTTTCTAAATTTGTAAAGTGAAATCATACTGCTGCCTACGTTTGGAAATTGATTTAAACTTTTTTTAAAACTTCGATTTTCCGAATTGAAATTTAATGCTGATTCCAAATCAGGAAAGAAAAATAGGGTGTCCCGAGCTTGTTTTCGAGATAATCAGCATTTAATGAAAGCCTACGCACGAGCTTTTGGAGTAAAAATTGCGCCACCGGAAGTGATTAGAAAAAAATAAAGATTCGTAAAGGAAATTGCACAATCTCGAGTACAATTTGGAAATTAATAGACACGAGTAATGTTTTGAAAGTTCTTGTAATTGCACGAGCCTTTAGGCGAGTGCAATTAAATAACTTTCAAAACATTACGAGTGTCTATTAATTCCAAATTGTACGAGAAGATCGTGCGATTTGTTGTTTATAGTTCACTCAACAAAATTTCAGTAAAAAATGAGAAGCGACGCCGTTCATTTTTGTCTATTTGGCGGCCGATTTTCAGTCCATCGTGCAACTGAAATGCATAAAAAAGATTAGTTCTTACGGCTTTAAAATTTTATTTATGCTTTTTAAGTACAAAATGTTAGAAAATAATTGTTTTGACATTGTTTTGGCCGTGTTGCCATAGCGACTTAATTCAGTACTCCTACGGAGTACAATTAACACTATAATTGTACTCCTCTCGACCAATCCGAGTCGAGTAATTTTGTTGAGTGTACTATAAATAAGATAATAGTTATTTGCAGACTCTATGGTTGCACGAATGAAGGCTAATCAATCATTCTACGATAATACATGGATATTTTCGACAAAAATACAAAAAAATACATTGATTTGTCATATTTTGTAGTTTCGGTGCTCTTAAAAATTCTCATAAAGTCGAACAAAAATCCCTACAAAAATCTATTTTTTCATGTGTTATTGATTTAAACTTTTTCTAAAATGTTGACATAACCTAGATTTTTAGGAGTTTTTTCGAATGAGCAATTAAAAAATAGATAGTCCCGTGCAAAATTGGAGGGTTTTGCCCTGTTGAAGCTCAAAACGCGTAGGTTTCTTCAATAAAATCTTGTAGATTTTTCAGTGGTTTTTGTGCATCGTGGGCTCAGTATCCCAATGACAGAACCTTAGATGTAACACAATTTGTCTTTTCACAATTAAAAACATTCTGTCGTTAGAACTCACTAAATATTTTGCAAGCTGATTGCTTTTTATATCGAAAAAAATCTGTAAAATTTTTTTAAAATTTTACCACCAAATTTCCAAGATTTTTAATTTCAAAAATCGCGCAGAAAAATAATTCAATTACGTAATCAAAATRAGATCCGTATTTGCGCATGTGCGAAACTGAGCGAGCCAGGTGAACAACTTACTATATGGAGCTACCTTAAACTTCTTCAAGCTTCTATCTTTTTCTGTTTTTTACTACTTCATTTTATATTTGGATAGAGTGCAAATAATATACCCGTGAAATAGTTAGGATGAAATAGGAGATAGTTAGCGATTAATTAGACAAGACATGGTCCAAATTCAGTGAGGCATGACAAGGGCACAGGCGTTTACTAGAGTAACAACTCCATATGCAAATAAATGGATACGAAAATGCAAACGTTATTATACGAAGGAAAAGCATGTTCAATAAAATAGTGTTTCAGTTTTTGGGAAGTGTGTTTAAAAATATGTGGGCCCTTGAGTAGCACTCGTGCACTAGTTTACTTGTCAGGGCTCGCCTATTTTAACTAGACGCAACCAAAAGAAAGTAATTAGTTAGCTAGCTAGCTATCTCACAGGTATATTATTTGCACTCTATCAAACAAGGTATTTTCAACATTGCCTGATCAGCCAATCAGTGGGTTTTTACCTTCTGGTTACCCCACAAAGACGCAAAGTATTATGGGTATGGGAAGCTAGAGAATTGAGGTTTATTCACACCTCACCCTATTGAGGTTTATCCACACCTCACCCTATTGAGGTTTATCCCCACCTCACCCTATTGAGGTTTATCCCCACCTCACCCTATTGAGGTTTATCCACACCTCACCCTATTGAGGTTTATTCACACCTCACCCTATTGAGGTTAATCCACACCTCACCCTATTGAGGTTTATCCCGACTCTCACCCTATTGAGGTTTATTCACACCTCACCCTATTGAGGTTTATTCACACCTCACCCTATTGAGGTTTATCCCCACCTCACCCTATTAAGGTTTATCCACACCTCACCCTATTGAGGTTTATTCACACCTCACCCTATTGAAGAAGAAGGATATCGTAATGTTTTCAACAAACTACTTTACGGAGACTAAAAATGTATTGGTAGCGAAAAGACTTGTATGAAACACCGTAAATTGAGCTCGATCGTTCCACTCTATCGTCTTAGTTTTTTAGTGCGAATAATAAAGTCTAATGGATTTCAAGAAAACAAACTGTTAGTAAACGACTAAGAAAAAGCTTGTTGATTACACGAAAACAATATGGCGCGCACAAGGTATTTTGTATTTTTCTCGAACTTTGGCAAGTAAAAAATAATAAAGAATGATAAAGCTACCCAAAACACACATTTCATAGATTAGAGTATAGGGAAATAGGAAAATAAAGTCATCCGAGTCATAAGTTGGTAGAAACGGACTCATATGGCAGCTAAGTGAACGCTGTCCTTGGTCGCGTTTAGATCTCCACTTTCACTGATCGTATCATGAAATGATCGCTCCAAATATGCTTCAAAATCATTTACAAATGTCTTTCAAGGGACTATGTTTCTTTTTAACAATTCTTATTGAAGTTTTGTTTTGGTAATTCCAATGGTAGCGAAAGGACTCCGGGTGGTAGCGAACCGACGGTAGCGAAAGTGAGTGGTAGCGAAACGACCGGTATTCGTATAAAAAGTTCGCGTTTTGAAGTGATGAGCTTAAGCGTCAAGTAGGGTTGGTAGGTACTTTTCTTTAATCATGGTAACATATTTCTTAAAGTGATTCTACACGTGGGCAAATTGGCAAACGCATGATCGATGACTTTATGCGTGGGCGAATTGGCGTGGGCGAAATGGTCCGTGGGTGAAATGACTGGTTACCAAGATAAGTGTATATACTTTGCATGAAAATATTTCTTCACACAAGTCTTTTAAATTTTGACAATGTTGAAGCAGAGGAGGAGTGAAGCCCATCCAAGAATGCACTAAACTATCAGTATTAATTTATAAACAATCAAAAAGATAATCTAAGAAAATCATATTTTTAATTCTAAAAACCAGCAGCACTCACTCATGACCCCTTCCACATAAGTAATGTTTTGCTCAAGAGTGTCTGCTATTTTCATGTACAATAGTAATACATTAACATACCAGTGAATATGGTTAGCAACAACACTGAGGGACCAAAGTAAGTCAATCATAATCATCTCCAGATATTGTTCCTCGCCTGAAATGAATAAAGGAAATTCAAATTTGATATAGATTTTTAGAAGTTTTTTTTGAATAAGCTTATAAAAAGTATAAAGTCTCATGCAAAGCTGAGGATTTTGCCCTCTTGAAGTTCAAAATGTGTAAGTTTTTTCAATAAAATTGTGTAGATTATCCAGTGGTTTTTGAGCACACACTAATCATGGGCTCAAATTGAACATTCAAAAGTAGCCAGTCACCTAATCCACCCAACTCCGATGAAGGACTACAGTAATGTCCAAAACATCAGTTTCACAAAGCTTTTTACGGTGACTCAATTTATCCACAAGTTCCTGCTGTGTTATTTAGAAACACCGACGCATTCCATGCTAGTACTCTACTAGTTATCACCACTCAGTCACCTTAATGGTTCACACAAATATTATCATCATTACTGATTGAAGTTTTCCACAATGTTTGCTGTTCATTGGTGTCTCATTATGACTAGTGTTCAGCATTACCAGTTAAAACAAAAACACTCGAAAGAATTGGATATGACGTCATTGGAAGCAATCAACCTTCATGACCTTCATGTCCCAATTTGGAGGCATAACACTAACGTACCAACAAATCASTCATGATTGTAAGCTGCAAGGCTGCTAATAGCACCTTAATATGCAGCCCATAAAGTCCTCCACTGTTCATAACTGTAAAGCGCATTGAGACAACTGTGAAATGCGCTATAGAAGCACCCCATTACTATTATTATTATTATTATTATTATATGACTTAAAGGCACAACAAACAATATTAGGCACTTAACGCAATGATGACGGGAGAGCTTGACGCCCGTGCTTACATGACATTGACTTCATAAAATGTCGACCTTGACGACTTCTGAAGTTCATGTTTCATGTCTAGAGGTGAACGTCAACATTCCAAGGTAAATAAATCTTTGTGTTTTTCAATAAAAGTTTGGTGGTGACATCTTTCTTTATTGAATATTCTCCCAGGTAGATAAAATGATAGCAATTTTAGTACATTATCTTCCTTCCTATTTTATGTGAAAATGTTTCTTTGGGCCAAAAGCTTATATACGAAAAAAAAATGAATGACTAGAAGTTTTTTAAGTAAGGTAGTTCGGATATTTCCTATTTTATATTTTTGAAAGTTGTTCAGACAAATGCGAGCGTCAGCCATATTGAATTTTCAAAGCAAGTAAGTAAATATCATTCTTTAAAAAACAAAATTTCGGTTTGCATTCATCGTCTGTCAAAATATCAAGTTCAAATGGTTTCTTTCATCCAATATAGAAGTTCAAGGTTGTTGGAACTGTTCAAGTCACATAGAAGAAGAAACTTTTCAAAGCAAAATATCTCAAACTTCTCGCAATGAAACGATTACAAACGGTACAATAATTTTCAAGCCAACATATAAGCTTCCTTTCTAGTCTGATTATAATTATGGTGACTCGACGTTGACAACGACGTTTCTCGACCTAGTCTTTTTCGGTCAAAAATACTGTCGTCTTGGTTTCCCGTCATCGATGCGTAAAGTGCCTATTATAACTGGGACAAGTCGCTAGTTGAGTGACAACCAAGCACAAAGGAGAGTGAAATATGACTTATGGAATCTCTCTAATTAATAATTTGAAAAAAACTGTCTAGCACTATTTTGTATAAAATATGTTTTCCATAAGCTTAATTATTCAAAGAAAAAAAAAATTGTCACAAAACCTAATATGCCTACACAAATTATTCCATTGTTGTTTTTTTTTTGTTCTCAGGGAGGAGTAGGTGAGGAGGGGTGTTCGTCTTCAAAGTACGAAGAAAATTGGTTCTAGACATTCCTTGTAAATAAATGGAAAATTGGGCAAAGATGATCGAAAAAATATAAATACACATATTATAACTGTTCAAAGATAAGAAAACTATCCTACGAACACAAAATGTACGTTTGAAAACATGTTTTTACGCCCACGACAACTTCACACGTGCCACAAGAAACACTCGCTAATTCAACGAAAAGACCGCAAATATAAGGAAAAAAGGCCGACAGAGCAGCAAAAACATCTAAACTAAATGATACGAGAGTTATTTTTTAGCTTCTAAACGTTTCTTACCGTCTAATAGCAATGTTTCTCGTCCCCTTTCGAGTTAACTCCTCCATGTTTTTTTGCTTGTGACGACCAAAGGGACTCATGGGACAAATGTATACCCATAATACCATGCGCAAGTATTTAAATGCCGCAACCAATCAAAATGCAATATATACGTTCACGGCGGTCCAATTTTTTTCCTAATGAATATTATGAATTCATCGTTTTTGGAATGGTTTTAATTTTTTTACTATTTTCTTTACGTTTCAGGATAGATATCTTGTCAGCTCCCTCGATTCGCGGCAACGGATTTCAATAGTTTTTCATATACTGGTGTTCCAAAAACCGGTTATGGTTGAATGGATGAAAGAATGGATAAATGGATGGGTGGGTGGATGGAGGGAGGGAGGAATGGTAGAATGAATGGAGGTAGGAATGGGTACATAGATGGAGAGATGCATGGTTAAATGGACGGATGGATGGGTAAATGGATAGAGGAATGGGTACATGGACGGATGGATGGGTAAATGGATAGAGGGATGGGTAAATGGACGGATGGACGGATGGACGGATGGACGGAGCGATGGGAAAATGGATAGAGGGATGAATTGGTAGAGGGATGGGTAAATGGAGGGAGGGAGGGAGGGAGGGAGGGAGGGAGGGATGAATGAATGATCACAAAACAGAAAAATCTATGAAAAAGAATGAATGAATAAACGAATAAAAAAATGGAATGAATGAACGAATCAATCAATCATTCTTACTAACTGTAGTTGTTTTAGTCAATCCTCAAAGGTGATTTGGAAAATAGGTGATTTCCTTTGCATCGAAGCGAGACAAACGACGATTTAGCTTGCAATCCAAGAGACCTTTTTAAACACCTTGTACAATCATTCACAGGTCTCTATCATTGCAAGCTCACCGTTCGTCTCGCTTCGATGCAAAGGCACAGCTACCTTTCGAGATGGTGCGAGGAAATTTGAAGGTACTATTAATATTTAAAAAAGAAAGAAAAACAATACAGATAAGTAAAGCATCGCTTTCTTGTGCTTTAGTTCCGGGATAAGAGCTTTAACTGATAGTCCTTCCTGCGTGCATGTACAGGAAAGCAAGAGATAAAATAAAATAAAATGAAAATAAAAAAGGTCTCTCTTAGTATTACACTTAAAACAACTATATGTCCAACGAAACTAAACACAAGTGTTAAATACATTGCTAACAGCTACATTCTAAAACATACCAATGCAACGTAACGTACTTTGTACCTTTAGCGTCGATGTACTTCCTTGTTAGCCGAGTAGAAATAATAAACCCTTGTATTATCTCAAAAAGGTCTCCTTCTATCAACATGAGCCAAACGTTTAGATTAACTAAATAAATAAGGACCTTGAGAAGACCTGTGTGATCGCCGAAACCCGTGTGATACCCAAGAATTAGATTATTGGACTTTTATTTACTTCAGTTATGCAAACTATTATATCTATATTTCTTTTAATGGTTTTCTAATGATGAAAAACAATGGCTTTGAACAGTAAGAAATGTTCTAGTTTTTCGACATGATTCTCTATTGTATTCCGCAACGCATTACTTTGCACTTATTAAATGTTTGCTTTACAAATTCCTAATGATAAGCTTTTGCTTTTACGTGCATTTTATCGAGTTCTATTTATGTATTACTGAGCTCAATCTTGTCTTCTCGTCCTGTCTTTTTGCCTTTTTTTGTGGACAAATCATGACCCTGACCAAAGTTTACAACCTGGAGCACTGAGAGAACACATGACAAATCGCATTTTGGGTTCTCTCTGATGGCTTGCATTGTGAAGTAAACACCGTACACATAGCGAACTGGAACACAAAGATGATGAAAACGGTTACCAGACGTCCCTGAGCTCCGAAAGGGGGAGGGAGGTGTGAGAGACTCCAGGGTAAAAATTTCGGGGATGCTTGTGGGGACTTTTCAAAATACACCTAAAAGATACGACGGATTTTTTTCTTTAAATTGGCGTTGCTTTGTAAATTTTTAAACCATAGATGATTAAATAGTGTCTTGCCTAACGGCTAGGTCTTCATGTCTCCTTATCTATTATTTTGTAGGGTAGTTAATATGCATCGATTAGTAGCCGCTCATAGCTTCCAAAAGGTGGCTATAAAGTTAAAAGACACTACCTACGTGCATGCCTATAATAGTTAATATGTCAAATATAGACTTACCTACAATAATAATAACAACGAAGAGATTGGCAAACATCAGCATAACGGTAATACCAATGGCGTCACTCTCCACATCCACCAAAGTCGAAACTGTTTCTGCAGGGATCTTTAGCAGCATCGCCATGAACTGGTTGGCCATGGTAGCCATCAGAGCACCCAGATGAAGCCATTTGTCAAACAAATGTGGAATAGGCTGTGTGTGAGCAAAATACACTGCATAGAAACCAGACAAGATGGCGGTGACTCCAAGAAATAATCGTCCCTCTTGACCGGAATACACCAGTACTGAGGTGAAGATGACCTTACGAACAAGCTCGATTATCTCCCAGTACCAACAATCTTCACTGTAGTTCTCGTAAAGGAACCTCATTCCAACTGATATTTCATGGCCGGCAGCATCATCTTGGAAGCGCTTCTTCTTTACTTTAAGATGAACTTTGTCACTTCCACTGTTTTGGCAGTACTTCCACAAGAAGAAGGTCGTGGCAACAGGAAATCCGATTGGAATCAAGAGTGCAAAGTAGGCTAAGATGACAAATCTGTTATAGAAACTTGTAAAGCATTTCGAGGAATAGTCTGACTGAAGATACCATGAACAATCTTGCTCATTGTCACACACTTTATGGCAACTGGATGGCAGAACCTGGAAAACCTTCTCACAAGTCGCAGGATAAGTGATGAAAATGACCAAGAAAACTGCTCGATAGCAGTTTGCTTTACATTTGGAAAGCCTCTTGTTATCACGATTGATATTTGTAAAGGCCTTTTTGACGAAGAAATATAGAATTGCAATCAGAATGACCATCGCGTCTAAAGAGATATAAACCACAAGACCAGCGTATGGCGTTAACCTTACGGAATGTTTCAGGCATTCCAATGGAACGAGTTTGAAAATGTTCAGTTGTACCACATCAGCAAACTTCATCAACTTGGTGAGTGCTGCAGGCCACTTGATGTAAGAATAGGCGTTGAGAGTACCACTTGTCACTTGGTAGAATCCAATCACAATCTTGAAACTACTGAAGACAGTGTCACTTACTGAACGTCTATTAGCACGATTAGACTT